GCAACTTGTATCATGGAAAGACGCGAAAGTGTGCAGAATTTTGCTCCAAGTCCAAAAATCACGTTTTTTAGCCACGTATTGGGCTGCACGGCGGCGGGCTTCGCCCGCCACCTTGCAGCAGGACTTTTGCCAGCACCCTCGTGACGTTGCAGATATGTGGCTTGATTATTGTAGTTCACGTTGATTTAGTGACTTTTGCAAGTTTGAGTCGCGTCAATAAGTCAGGTAGGATTCAGTACTAGGCAGTAGTGGAACGTGAGTGGTAGTTTTTGCCGATTTTTGAGGGTATCCTGGATTCGGCTTGAAGCGCTGTGGAAACGGCTTGCTGTGGACGTCCCAGCACTGGATGTTGTATCAAAGGTACGACCTCGTAGCACGTGCTAAACCTAAAAAAATTCAAAAATTGACTTGGGTCTGTGGGAGTGTGTGAGAGAACGCCCACTCTTGCCGTTGTGACAGATTCCAGGGCCACGTTGAAGGGCCCTATCCCGTCATCCATGGGTGCTTGTGGACATTCTTTAGGTTTGGATCGCGCGCATGGACAGAATGGGCAAGAAAATGTGAACAAATTGTACAATGCATTTGTTCGCCTCCTGGGTGGCTCGCACACCGTGGCACTATGCCGGAATTTCTGAATTTTTACGGCCTGGAAAGCCTGTCAGCTAGGCGCAAGAACTTGTAAATCATGTTTTTTCTCGGAGACCCCCTTGATTTAGGCTTCGGCCTTTGGGGAATCCCTCAAATAATAATAATATTGTCCAGAGGGCCAGCATAGTGGCAGGACTGTGGGGTCAAAATTTCACTCAAATCCATTGAGAAACACCAAAGTTACGGTCCATTGAATGCCATATGAAGTTTATGGGTAGGCTGCCCCTTTAAGTGACTGCTTCCTTCTAGCATCCGAGAAATGCACTGGTCTGGTCTAGAAACTAGTTGTGAAATCTATGTGGTTTCGGCTATCAGAAAGTGCAATGCCAATAAACTTCGAGTTGTCTTTCTGAACGCTGGAACTAAATCCAACTCTGTCATGATTATGTTGTTTGTGTGTAGACCCGAACCTGCAGTGACGGCTGAATCCGGCGCAGTTGCAGCTTCGCCTCACCAAGCTACGAGCAGTGTCGTGCATGTGTCATCTGGTGGAGTGGACGACCAGCAAGCCCCAACTCTGGTATGGAAAACCACTTGTAGCGGGTCGCCTCCTGTGCTCAGAGGTCACTGTGCAAACTATGCTGCGGTACTACCTGGATACTGTTGCTGAAGATGGCAAGTCAGCCAGCAATTTCAAAGCCATTTCTGCCTCGGACAGAAAGTCATCAAGACTTGATGAGAGAGGGTACGTACAGAAAATAGAGGTTGCGTGATCCAGCAATAGTGTGCACTACAAGGCTCGCTGTCAGCCCGAAAAACGCACGTTGAAGGGGCGTATCAGCTCTGTCTGCCTGTGCAGACCAAGGGCGGCAGTGGCACTGACTGCGATACCGTGGAGCGTGTCACCCATGCCGAGTGTTCGTGTCCCGCTGGCAAAGGTCCCCACGGGTCTTGCAAGCACCTTGCTGCCCTATTTTACGCCTTTATCGACTCTACTCGATTTGGCTACACTAGTGACTTGGTGACTTGCACTGATAGACTGCAAGCCTGGAATCAGCCGCATGAGAAAAGGTCGGAGCCGCTGTCGGAAATAATTCCGAGACCTCCGGTCGGATGAGCCTCACCAACCACATCGGCATATCGCCCCTACTTCCCTTTGTCTTGTTGTCCAGTGTCATGTCAGTTGTCCTCCTTCCCTGATTATTCGTAGGGCTGTACTTGCTAATAAAAAAGAAATACTGATCACTGTCATGACTCTACTAAAAACTCACATTGCAACCTCGCCACTGGAGCCCGGACCGTCCGTTGCGCGCAACATCCGTCCCCGGTTCGTAATCGTGAACGAGAGTGTTTAGGAAACACCCAGCCTGAACGTGCTCAGTCTCTACTCTTTGTTAGTCGTGAGTATTGTGTGAACATGCAGCCAGTCATATTGCCACACTGATTAGGTGTCTTGTGTGGTGAAGCATCCCGGCGGAACGCATGACTCAACGCCTGGTATTCAACATTACAGAGAAGTCTGAATGCATGCATTGCATGGAGCAATGGACCATTGGACCTGGTGCAGCTCCATCTACCCCATGACGAGCGTGTGTAAAATGCAGTTTATGCGTCTATAGGCATTCGAAATTTCGAAATTTTGCCACTGTATTGTCGGGGGTGAAGAGAGAGTTTTTGGATTCGATCGAACCACACCTACTGAACTTCACCATGATAAGCCTCAAGCTCTATGTTCTTTTTTGTGCGCAGCTGCTTGGCCCAACATCTTGCTAGTCCTCTTCTTAAGTCTCTGTACCAGCTCCGGGCGACTGCACCTGGTCACAAGACATGCACTCGGGGCAAGGCACAAAGAGCCTTAGTTCACTCATTAGTTTCTATGCAGTATGGCATGCGCTCTATTTCTTTTATGGTGGCGAGCAATAGGAATTCCCCGAAGAGCGGAGCACTGAAGAACAAAAAGGCTAGATTTTCACCAAGTATAGCGTGCGAATGTATACACTTTGATTCAACTGTGAATAGACTGTGGATAGCCGCACCTACATCATCAACAATTGCAGTTTGTTACCTATCACCTGTGCTCTCCCCCTGCACTGGGAGAGAGTTATGGTTGCTCATGACAGTGCTCAGCTCAGATATGGGCAGAGCTAGTACAGAGCCTAGAACTCCCCCTAAATATATAGCATGCTATCTACTCCCGTTGAGTATCTATTCCTCGGCTCAAGAAGTAGTTACATAAGGTTGGGTCGAAACCCTGCAATGCACAAAATAATTTTGAAAATCTGATGATAAAATTGAAAAACAATGCACCGGCACCTTTGCTAGCGCTAAAGCGGTTAAGAAAATGGCAAATTGGCAATGCAGCGAATAGAACAAACAGCAACTTGCCTCGTACTATGAAAGGCGCAGCAGATGCATTCAGAGTTCATCACTAAGAAAAGAGCAAAAGGGAGTACATGTACTTCTCGAGCTGCAAGGAAACCGAAACTAGGGACTGCTCAGAATCGGTCACAAAACATGGCATGGAAGCATACAATACGGCCATTTATTTTTTAAAGAAAAAAAGAAAGCATACAGCCTGCTAAACTAGGTAACTCTACAGTTGTTTGCGCAAGATGATGTAAGTGCATGTACGGAGAAGTTGAAAAGCCTAAGGAGAAAAAGAAAGCTAAAAACAAGAACAAGGACACGGGATCAAATGCGGAGGGAGAGAATACGGCAACACTAATTTGTCCTGTATTTTTCTTTCGCTGAGGAAGGGTGTTGGCTAGCAGTCGGTGACCAGGTATACATGCAAGTGGACGGGTGACAACTAAGACTGATCATGATGAATTGTGTAATGGGGACATGACCAATATTTAATACACGAGCAAAGAGGTAAACAGTTTCCTCTGAGACAAAAATGCGATAATACTCATAAAAAGGACACACTTCAGGCTCATTACAAACATCTTGAAAGTTTTTGTCTTCACAAGTATACTTTCAAGCCTTCTCATCAGGTGAAATACAGGCAAGAGAAAAGGAACAGGAACAGTGGATTAAATACAGTAAGAAGGTGGTAAAACAGCGCAAAAAGAAAGAAAGAAAGAAAGAAGATAGCTAAAGTAAACAGCGAAAATTGCAATAATGACACAAAGGTGCAAATGCGAGAAAACTCAATAAGCGCGACATGTAGTGCGACAACAAGAGACAACCACTGGACATACATGTAACTAACGAGGTTTTGACGACCTACCTAACAGCCTAAGTGTGAATTTGATTTGTTTCTGTTTGCAAAGGTTGGGTTTCCTTGTGTGGATGTATACAGCTTCCAAAACATTCAGCAATCTAGCACTGCGTACACGTGACACAATCGAAAAACAATCATCCGAATACACAGCACGACAATCAGGATGCTCAAACAAATGACTAGCAATGGACGACTCATACTTATCAGAACTAACATCAGAACAATCAGCATGTGCGGTGGACACATCCGATTTCACATGGCTAGTCGAGTGGACCCTAGCCGTTGCCTCTGTCTGTGCTTTAGTCGCTGCCATCGCCGCCGTTGCCGATCTTGTTATTCTTCTGGTTGATGTGGTTCCTGTCACTGCCACGCACGTAGGTGTCTTGTCCGGTTGCTTTTCTGGTGGTCTAGTTAATTGTGAGGTGACGTTCCTTGGTGTTGATGCCGCTGCGTTGGACCATCTTGTACCAGGATGATTCTTTGCTGGACGTCCCCTCCGTGGTCGAGTGGATCGTGCGTGTTGTGGAATAAGGTGTAGCGGTGCGTGTTGTCGCACCGCACTGTCGTTGTAAAGCACAGACAGAGGCAACGGCTAGGGTCCACTCGACTAGCCATGTGAAATCGGATGTGTCCACCGCACATGCTGATTGTTCTGATGTTAGTTCTGATAAGTATGAGTCGTCCATTGCTAGTCATTTGTTTGAGCATCCTGATTGTCGTGCTGTGTATTCGGATGATTGTTTTTCGATTGTGTCACGTGTACGCAGTGCTAGATTGCTGAATGTTTTGGAAGCTGTATACATCCACACAAGGAAACCCAACCTTTGCAAACAGAAACAAATCAAATTCACACTTAGGCTGTTAGGTAGGTCGTCAAAACCTCGTTAGTTACATGTATGTCCAGTGGTTGTCTCTTGTTGTCGCACTACATGTCGCGCTTATTGAGTTTTCTCGCATTTGCACCTTTGTGTCATTATTGCAATTTTCGCTGTTTACTTTAGCTATCTTCTTTCTTTCTTTCTTTCTTTTTGCGCTGTTTTACCACCTTCTTACTGTATTTAATCCACTGTTCCTGTTCCTTTTCTCTTGCCTGTATTTCACCTGATGAGAAGGCTTGAAAGTATACTTGTGAAGACAAAAACTTTCAAGATGTTTGTAATGAGCCTGAAGTGTGTCCTTTTTATGAGTATTAACACGAGCAAAGGGCAATTTTTTTAGGATTTTGCATTTGGTACCAAAAAGTAGGAGAGCGGCATACAGGTGTGTGTCGAACTACGTGCGGATTGAGCATCACCTGCCGAAGAATTTGCACAGGTACTTCGGAAGCTGCGGCGCTCAATTATGCACAGCAACATTAACAGTGGGGAGAATTGCACGCAACACGCGCGTGGGTGGGTGTTTGTGGCCGCATGCGGGTGTATGTACGTGCGCGCACATGTGTGTTCCTGCATGTTTATGTGTGCGCGTGCGTGTGTGTTCGAGGGTGTGTGGGTGGGTGCAGGCAGGCGCGTGTGTGTTCGTGTGTGTGTGTGTGTTTGTGTGCGCGTGCGTAGGCTGATAGTCATGATGCACAGACACAGGACAGCATGGCGATACCAGTAAACCTTCCAGTTACGATGAAGAAGTCTTGTACAGGTGAGCAGGTCAGCGAGAAGAACCGTGGCCTAGTTTATGACATGCTTGCCCGAGGCCCTGGAGCACGGGAAAATGGATAGGAAGAGAGACAGAAACACGGAAAGACAGACAGAATGAGATAGTAGGAGTGGTGCTGACGGAGAACACGGCCGAAGATGACAACATGCACTGAACCTGTCACTTGACATCTTCTCACAACATTGCCTTGTCTCTGTCAAACAAGCAAGTCAAATCCGTGTAAAGCTAGAGATGTGTACACAAATCACCTGATCGAACGCCCACTTTCACAGAAACCGGGTGATTGCGCCCTACTACATGGGGATTTTTATGGAAAATGTCACTAAAAGAGGCATTTTCTTTTTCTAAATACATGGGTGACCGCGGTTTGCCCTTATGTTGCAGTCTCTTGGACGCTGAGTCAACTGGGTTTGGTCCGAGAAGGCTGGCATGCAGCGTTCGGCCAGTATTCTCAATCGAACACGGTTGAGTAAGCGGTCACGTGCTCATGTGTACACGAGTCACCTGGTAACCATGCCTGCAGGCTACACGTTTCGCACCAAGGTTCAACTCGATTGACAGGAAAGCGCCCTAACAATCTTCACGTGTTAGCCTGCAGAGACGGTGACCAGGTGACTGGTGCACGCCTGAAAAATTAAATGCCGCATTTAGTGGCATTTTGCGAACAAATCCCCATCTACTGTCGTGGACATGGAAATCTGGTCGCACGTCTAGCGGCCCCAGGGAGCTGACTATGCAGCCCGCCGTGGATAGCGGAACATGCATTGTGCGCTGCAGCGAGCTGGTCGCATCGGATCAACATGACTCTGTGCACTGCACTGCGTTCTGAATGCACTGAGGGCGCCGACCCCGGGCAGTCGACTGGATTTCCATGCCCAGTACAGTATTAGGGCACAGTCACCCAGTTTCGGTGGAAGTGGTGAGTTTGATTAGGAATAAAGGAGGAAGGGAATGTCTCCGCTTCCCCGGTCCAAGGCATTTCGACTCGGCACCCTGAAGACTACGAGTACTGAGATTTTTATTCTGAACCATACTTTTCCTATTGTCCTTTGCATGTACAAGTAGTGCGGGTTTGTAGGAAGTGTACTTACACATCAATGCTGTTGGGATCTCAAATCCATGTGCTCCCCTCATGCACACCTAGTACCATGGAGTAATCAACTCTGCTCCTTGTCGGTGTGGCTGAAGCACGGGAAGCATCACCTCTGGGCAACAACTCCACCTGGCAGTATTCGATCGTTCGTTCCGGAGTTGGCGTAGTGTCATCCACTGCACAGTTGTCTGCTGGCAAACTGCTGGCTGCTGGCGGACTAGTGGCTGCTGGCGGACTGCTGCTTGCCACATTGGCTTCCAGAGGTTCCAAAGGTTCCCTGTACAAGTAGAATTGATGACATCATCAATAAGTTCGATGTTCTTGCACTTAATAATGAATTGTAATTCTGACCTTTGTCATAATACAACCGTTCTGCTCTATCAATTGTTCTAAGTACCTTCTACTCGCCGCGCATTTCAAGCCCACGTGGGTCTGCTTTCTGTGCTCTAGATTTAGCTGGGCCTGTGGAGAATAGCCAGCACTGTTCTTCAGATGTCATCACTGCATGTTCTAGGAACAGATATGCCACTAAGCCAAACTACGGCATTGGGAAACCAATGCAACTGCGTTTACCTGGAATACCTTTTGTACGTTAAGTGTGTGGAAATTTCTCCGAGCGGACACGACCTTCACACAAAAACCTGCTTCAAAAAGGGTGCCCTAACTTCACTAAGGTTCTTACACTGTGGACACTTTGTTGCACTCCGCCCTACGATTATCATTTTCCCTGTCTGTGAAATCAAGGTGCGATGCTCTTGCGAGACGGAGCACTCTCGCAGTACTTTACCGAACAGATCAAGGGAAAAGAGTACACATGCCACCCTGATATAAACTAGGAATCAATAAGAAGTTCCTACCTGCAATGCCTCCTCAGTGCAAAGATGAAGACCATTGACAGGGCAAATACCACGACACCGAATGCAATCCCAACGCCAACGACTGTTGCAGACTGCACGCCTTCCTCTGCAGAATCATCAGTCGTTGACGAATATACGGGTGAGGCAGAGCGCACCGTCACGCTTGACATCGCTGTCTCTTGTGCAATCTGGACCGCTGATGTTCCTGATTGAGGCGTTGCTGTGACGGTTGATGTAGTTGTGTAGGAACCGCATGTTTTTAGGGCAACAAAATGGCAAACAAAAACGAGGAATTCAGTAGCAGAGGTCGAGCATCAAGTTACAGTCAACTTGGCTAATAACGACTGCGGATATAACGACAATTCGCGAACAACGACAGAATTTCCACGCCCAGAACAAAGTCCATTCTACCTGTAGACATGTAATGAAACTTCGGGTATAAAGACACTTCGCGAACAAGGACACTTTTCTGATGCCCGGCTGAGTGTGGTTATACGCAAAGTTGACTGTACTTCTGACATGCTGAGTTGTGTGGTACAGACATACTGGTCGTATATAGAGTACACACCGAGACTACCCTGAAAGACACATACATCTTTGCACTGCTATTCGTATACAGACTGCACATCCAGCCTACCATGAAAGACACCTGCATCTTTGCCCGACTAGAACAAATCCTTTCTAGTACATTCTGCAGAAAGGTGTTGTCACTGATCTTATGGTCATTTCTGCACCGGTAGATGCAACGCAGTGGTCCTACAGTGTTTTCGGAACCCATTGAAGTGCTTGATGCACTCACTGAAAGTGCAAGGCAAAGAGAAACAGAAGTGGAACGTACCGTCAGTATCAGGATTTGTAGGAGAGACTTCTAAATAGAACACAGCACATAACACGCACACAGATACCAACACACTAGCACATGTATTATAGACATCTTAAGTACACATAGACAGTCACATACATGAGTGTGCACTCAAGCATTGCCAGCGGCATTAGTGTTCACCGCCTGGCTCTAACTCCTAGTTCACATTCGACGGGGCGAGACGGGACGCGACGCAATGATCGACACGGGAAGCGACTGGACGGTCTGACGACATGCAACGTGAATACCCGGAACGGGAACACAACCGTACCATCGGGAAGCTATGGGAAAAGTTGAATCGATTAAACTTTCCATACAGTAGACGGGAACGCAAGCATACAAAACGGCTGCAATTCGAGTGTGAACAGCAGACGTCGTCGTGCGCCGACAACTTCGGATTCGTACAAGAGGAGATATTTAGCATTGTGAACATTACGCTTCCCACGATAACTCACAGAATGGCTAGCACGACTGGAGTTGAAATTTTTCAAGATAAGATCTCAGGTTACTTCATTGGATTTAGAGACAGTTCAGGAGCGTGACAGAGGAACTGTTCTATCATTTCCCGGGTCTATTATTTGACTGCCACAACTTTCAGGGTTACTTTTGGTTTCATAAAAAATTGGTATTGTGAACTTGATTCTGCTTCATTCAAGGAGAAATATTTTCAAAGAGGTCCCAAAAAACAAGAAATTAGGTCTGAAAGTCACCCTGTCAGGGATCATGCCTCATGACTCGCGCCGTTCGACGTTGAACAAGGCAACGACTGCTGCACGTCGTGTTGTTCGAATCGTACAGGATTTTTCAGCTCACCCCAGCCCTTACGTCCCGTACTGTCATCGTTGCGTCAAATGTGAACTAGGCTAAAGCAACGAAGCCGGAACCACGTCACAACAGACCAATGTTAAGTTGTGTTACATGCAGCTAGGTACTTACCCGCACACTCGCTCCTTATATAGAGATTGAGTGATCACTATATCTAGACAAGCACTGCAAGTAGAATGTGACCTCCATTAACAGTTAACACTTTGGGACACCAATGACCTGTGCACAACTTCACGTCCATTTGAAGCCGCTTTCGAACTGTTCTTGTACGGCAACTGAGCATACCCAGATGAAGTTCCAAAACAACTCACTTCTCTAAACTCCTAAAGCTCGCATAATTAATGTACACACTTACTTTCACATCCTGGTGGACTTGGGTACCACACTCCGCCAATCTGGCACGTAGAGTTGGTGATAGGCAGACCGTTGCTCGGAAGATATCCCGCTTGGCAGAGTATAGATATCTGCGCACCAATCGCCCTGCTGAAACCTGCTATTGGCTTGTAGTTGAAGTGGGCAGACACTAGATCAGGACACTGTTCTGGAGACAAAGGAAGCAAAAATTCAAGCCAGTTGGTCAAAGGAATGAAAAACTCAGCGCCAGAATTCATACCATACGTCATAATAGAAAGGAAGATGGATTTTAGTCTCCCAAATGATCAGAGGGTCGGCAATTAATCTGTGGCGTGACTAAAACGTAATGACTGCACTTAGTGGAGTAGTAGTAGTAGTAGTAGTAGCAGCAGCAGCAGCAGCAGCAGCAGCAGCAGCAGCAGCAGCAGCAGCAGCAGCAGCAGCAGCAGCAGTAGTAGTAGAGTGTATTATTTGCCTAGGGGAGTCCCAACAGGCATGGCCTTCTTTCAGGGAACCCTAGGTAAATAATTGTAGTGTATACTTCACGGTTATAACACAATGCACACTGAGAAGTGACACAGTGACTTACCCCAGTATTGGTACAAGGCATTTTAAAAATGTACAATCAGCACATCAATGATGCAGCATGTACCAGTACAATACAGATACAGTGCTGGCAAATGAAATCCAGCCTTGTGGAAATACCAGTCCCGGACTGTACAATCCCAGCAATGTGAACAGTGGACTGTGCAGTGAACCGTGACTCTACTCTATTCATGGTTGTTGGATTTCAGTTCCCACCACCCTGTTGTAACACTGAGCAGCTACATTTCACACAGAAGAATTCTTTAGGTCAGTACATTTAGGTTTTCATCAGCAAGACCATCATTATATCCCTCCTTTCGTCTTAAATGCAGCAGTCGAGTCAGGGCCACTGTAGTTGGTAACCATCATATTTTTTACAATGAAGCTGCGTGGAGCGCCATTCAAGATTATTTTAGACATACGCAAAGTGACTCTAAATACATGTACAAACAAACCTTCTTCGACAGTGACCGAGACAGTTGAGGATATTGGCCGAGAAGCATGAATACATCTTTCGGTCACACGCTGTGGACGCGGAGGGGTTGACCCTATTCCAGTGCAGTCACCTTCCGTGTACCACGTCGTACACGTTACATTGAGAGTAACACGTGATGTATCAAGATCGTTCAGTTCCCTCACAATCGTTTGATCATTCAGCTGGAAGGTGAAAACGGAATGCACGATCTTCGGAAGGTTCGTCGTCCGGATAACCGGCATGTCCAGCGCTGGTGTTGATGTCCACGAAGTGTTCAGATTTGAACTACCACTCGACATGCACGGTATCGTACTACTGGCATCACGCGAAATTAGTCGCTGGGATGTGGGGAACGCTGACCGGACTTGTTTAGCTGAGCAGAAAAAGGGACACAATAATGGCTCCTCCGTCGGCTCTTGCGGCGGTGGAGCTTGCCAGTGACAGACCGCGAGCAACATTGACAGTGGCAGTAACACTACAATTGCCAACTCAAAAAGACCTACCTTGCGTATCAGCAGCTCGCACACCATGTACACCATCACCAACAATGCAATCTACAGCAACCACAACTAATCCACCATCCAAGCCCACAATTGAAAGACCAAGACGATCAACAGCCAACTACAACAGAATATACGCACTCAACGGACAAGGGCGCAAGGAGGGACGTGACAGCAGGGTGACGGCCGAGTCCCGTTCAATGGACCAAGTCAGGCGGGATAACAGAGAGAGAGAGAGAGAGAGAGCGCAGAGGAAGCGGATGATGGGACGGACGGTGAAGGGAGCAATGAGTCGGAGAGCGACGATTGTGGTGATCGTGAGAGTGCCGGTGAGAATGTTAGTGTTGTGCGTAGGTTTCGTGGTAGCAAGTCTTCAGTGTATAGTCATCTGTTGGCTAGTCCTGAGTGTTGCAATTCGTATTCCGACTCTTCTTTCACTGTATTGTGCCGTGGTCGTCATGGTCATGGACTACAGTTAAAAGTTTTGGAAGCCATCTGTCAGCGTCTGTATAAGCCGAATTTGTGCTGCAGTACGTGAAAGTAAAAATTGCAAAAAAACAAGCTTCCTATATCATTGCATCCGGACACGAGTCCATGTATGGAAGGTGTAGGGGAAGCAAACGAGGTGCACTGCCAGACGTACAGACAGCACGCAACACAGAGTGTGTATAAACCATGAGCGGAAATCACGTATAATTAATGCCGAGATGTTGATATAGGTCAAGTACAAGTGCTGCAAAACTAGGCTGTACGAGTCGTAGTTCAGGAGCAGTCAGAAAATGTCTGATTTTGTATCACGCATGTGCAATAGTCAGGTGTACACACACATAGTACTGCGAGTGAGACACAAAGCTAATAAATCCTTGCTCAATTTCATTCTCCATTCTACTCCAGTAGCCATACTGTACAGTACACAGTCAGTAGGAGATTATTGCACAGAAAATAGGAAATGGTTTTAACCTTACCTACAATGTTGAGTTGATATGTATGGCTAGAGTTGTGATCCACTGTTCTGCAATGGTACAGGCCAGTGTATGACGTGTCCAGGATAGGATGTGCTGTGCTGTTCACAAATAATAGAGTACCTCCTGAGAAGGCACCTGTTTCAGCCAACACTATACTACCATCAGTCTTCTCTAGTCGAATCCATGGCCCTGATCCACTGCCCACCACGCACAAAGGTAAGTAACTGGTAACATCGGCTGTAGGTTGTCCATCACCAAATGTCACTATGAATGGTGCGTGCTGTCCTGTACCATCTGCATTTAAACCGACAGGTTGACCTGCATGGGTATACAGGAGAGTGCAGTGTCACAACGCTAACTCAATACTCAAACGACTAGTGACCAGACAATACTATCACAATGCTAACTCAATACCCAAATCACTAGTGACAATGACCTATCAATACTAGCACAATGCTGCATTTGGTATTTGACGATTTGCCTTCACTCAACGCCAGGGAAGGAAACAACATTGATATCCAACACACATGAAATAAATGACATTGGCATACTCAAATTCATCCACCATAATATATCTTACCATTGCAGCCAATCAGCAACAGGGGACTGAAGAGAAGCAAGCAGCCCATCAGGATACCTTCACAGTGGAACATACAAAGTGAAAATGAGAACACAGACATGAACATGAATTTAAAAAGAAGGAACACTACAGTCGAGTTTGGGCAAAGAAAGGATGGGAAGCTAAATGAATTGCACACGCAACGACCAGGTGTGCACCCTTTGTTGGGCATGCTTGCATTGAATGGGTTGACTCCAACCAATTCCATTTGCATACAAAACTTTGTCTGGTAGGATGTGAAATATCAACCCACATGAAAATCCTGATAGCCATAGGCCCCGACACATGACCAAAGCATGAATTTGACGACAGCTGAAGGGGTCTACAAGGGGGTGCATTCGACTTTGCGGGAGAAATTGATACGCCGTTTAAAAAGCAACAGAGGTGCAAGCGCCCCATCATTGCAGTAGGTTTTCGTAAAAAGGCTCATGAGATGAAATTTTGTTTGTGCCGTGAGGCCCACTTGCTCTCCCATCCCTTCTCTGAAAATGATGAGGATGAAACAGTCCTTTGTTCTGGAAAGTCTACTAGTACGGGGGCCAGAGCTGAAAAAAGTGATTCAAAAAAAGTTTCGTTCCGACTTTTAGCGCACAACAATTTGACACCACAGAGTCATAGCGGGGGCAATACAGACATGAACTCTAAAAAAAACCGCTTCGAAAAGTGAATGGAAGGTCCTGAACGAGGTGATTTTGTCCTCCACTCGGCCATTACGTGCGGTATGCCCTGGAAGTCGTAAAATAATGACTTGTCAAGACAGATGAGACTTCCCTACCCAACCCCAGTGCAAGCCCGCCGCACAAAACTTCAGTCCTGGTATTCGCAGATGGTTTCGGCACCACGAAGGGCCCGGGCGACAATATTGTTGACACGCACATAGCGATTTCGGCACCACGAAGGGGCTGCACCTCTAGCACCAACAATGTGAGTTTCACGACGGTAATCTGGCACCATCATGGAGGTGTCGGGATGTCGGAGGGCAAACATACGCCGAGGGCAACTCGGCAAAGCGTCTCTGATCCCATCGTCGAGCCAGGACGGAAAGATTGCATTTTCTGTCGAAAGTTGTTGCTTGGAAAGAAGCACAAGTACCAAAAGACATCTCAGTGCCAATCTCTCAACGCAGCCCAGAAAGTGCTCGATGCAGCCGAGGTAAGAGAAAACAACGCAATTCGAATTGCTATTGGGTCCCTTTCATGCCCGATTGCTCGAGAGGTACATTACCATCGTGACAGTTTCCGCCACTACACTCGAGTTTTGGAAGACAAAAATGACATCGATTTATCGGACAGTACAGGTGGAGAGGCGCAAGTGTTGGCTAGCTTCCTTGCAGTAGTCCACAAGAAAGACGTGCGGCACAGGAAAAGAAGTTCCTGGATCCCATTCCTAAATTGAAGCTCGAAATATTCTCAAACAGAAAGTCCCGAACGCCAACCAGCCAGAGCAAAGCAGCATCTGACTACTATCTGTATTGCTTGTGCCGACTGCGCTCTTTTCAGCAAGACGGCTGTTATTGCCCAGAGTCGCCATATGGATGTTCGTCAAATTCTCTCGTACCCATTGGGATCAGCACCGTTATCTCTCTGTACCTCAGGTGGGACACTAGTGAAGACTAACCAGTCTGCACTGCTCCAGTTGCTCATGACGGTTTCTGATGGTGTAAGTCCACCCGGAAATACTCCATCTGAGTCAAGTGCTCTCATTGTTGATGCTATGGCTATGTTGCAAGCCATGAGCCAGAAATCACTACATGCAACCTTCTCTGACCTTGCATATCACATCTTCATTCACTGCTCACCAAGGCTGGAAACTAGTGGACGGCAAGCTCCAGGTTGACTGGTTGTCCCTGGAGCCTGCTCCCAACGCCCTGATGGACAGATGGAGTTTGTTAAATGCGGCTGCAAAACAGGCTGTGGCGGAGGCCGCTGCTCCTGCAAAGCACAGTCTTACTGATGTTTGTGGATGCAGCGCTGCAGATAGCTGCCAGAACAGGGCCAGTGATCTGGGCAACTAACTACCACTATAGCATGAGATTGAGTTTCAATTACGCATATCTACATTACATACACATCCATGGACAATGTACACGTAAGAGCTTTTTTACATTCCTTTCTGGCATTCCTGCAGTCTGTATATATCCCAATGGTCTTCATTCCAGATCGTGTTAACTTGATTTGAGTCATTCAATCGTTTTAGAACATTACTGTAGGCTAAACACAAGAATAAAACAGTAGTTGCTATGGTGTTGCTATGCAGTTGCCATGGTTACCATGCTCAAAACTTCAACGGCTAATTTCAGCACCTTCCATCACGTTTCGAGGGTCGAAAAAGATATCGTTGAGTTCCTTGTGGTCCCCTCTACACGTTGAAGCTCTCAAAAAGTTGTGCGCTCTCACCTGCATCGAAAGTAAACATTTTGGACACCTGGCCCCCGTACTATACACTCTACTGAGTCTGGACAGCCAGTCACACATAATGCATGTCATTATGGTCAATTGTAGATCTACCACATGGATGCAAGTGCAGAACTGCCTCCCGGACGGAGGCTGACTGTTCGTTGCATGCACAATGTGGGTGATAACTCCTTTCTCTTTCCGCATCTAGATATTATTTATCCTGACACCAGCATTTTCTGCGTCGTGTACGGCTGGTGAAAATATCTACCCGAGCCGTCGCGGTGTAGGCGCTGCTTCCTCTTCTTACTTTACTTTGAGGACATTCTCAAGATATACTTTGATTATCGTGAACGGAACAGTATCTCAGTGCAAAGGCACGGAGTGTCTAAGATGAACTCACTGAAGAGCCAAAATGTCATTTGGAATAGCTACTGCAAGTAAGAGTGCAGTATTTCTCCGGGCTTGAAGGACCAATTCTAGAAAAATTAATCTCGTTCTGCCCATAGTAGCTATTAGTAGAACGGTATAGGCTTACGTCTACAATAACGACTTAGACAACGACTCTGGTGCAGGCAACGGCTGCGAC